TGTAGAAGGCTACCAAAGTCGTATCCAGGACACTTATCTACCTATCATTGTACTCTTTTCCACAGCAAACTGTCAAAGGAGAGATGTTAGAGGGAGCGAGGAAAGGAAAGAAAGAATACATTCCCTGTGCTTTAGAGACTTGGATTTTGATAGACACAAATTTTAAATTATTTAGCATATTCATTCCAATGTCTAATGATTGTTCAAAAAATCTATTTGTTTTTGCCAGCAAATAACTCTCAGAAGCTTGCCTTTTAATGCAAGAGCAGAGTTGATATTGAAGGTATAGGTTACAAATATCACAGTAATTATTTGATAATCATTAGTCTGCTTTATATGGCAGTAAGTTAATTTGATAATAGAAAAAATAATAATTCTAAAAGTAAACGATTATATTATATGGGCATACTCGTATAAAGTGTCAGGGCTTTAAAGTTATATAAATATATTTTTCTCACTGTTGGAATGATAACAGCTATTGATCAGCACATAAAAATATACACATTGATTGCATATATTGCTTTTTAGTAAGTAGTCACAATTTTTTAAAGGTTAATAAGGTGCAGGGATCACACATAAAATAATTATTAAACTATATTTTAATTTTTGTGCTGTAGAGAACATACACAGACGATACACTTTCTACATATACAATTACATGGCATTGATGAAGTTCTTCAAGTTATCTAATAATTCTCAACCTCCTTTTCTAACCTCCCACATTAACATAAACACACTACCTCTGAAATTTTCTAAATCCTCTTGTAAATTGTTACTGCCTATTTGCTCCCATATCGGTAGATCTTAAAGAGCAGAATGTGCAAGGGAGACATTTTTCACTTTTTAAATTAAACTATGGTTTGGTTAGAATATTTTTTGTTCATTCTTTAAGGTTTTATTGCATAGTTTCTGGGATCATAAAATCTTGCAAGCAGCCATCCAAAAGACAATTGTTCTCTGCACAACTGAAGAAACAAATGAAGACAAGGAAGAAATGGAATGTGCTGTTTACCGCCTCAAGGCACACAGCTCTCTCCTGGACCATGAGACCAGCAGTGGATGGTGTCCACGTGCCGTTAGTGAATGGAAGTGGAAGTGCCATGGAAACTGGATGAGCCAATCTTAAAATCTCGAAACTTCCTAACATCGATTCGACTATAACTCATAACAATGCTACCGACGAGAGTAATACTCCACCTTTGGGGTTCTGAGACTTTAAATCTTTACAGGAGAAATAGGCTCATCTTTCTCCCCCAGAAACTCCTGGTGGGTTGAAACTTCTGACCTTGAGGTTAGTAGTTAAATGTGTGACCTACTGTGTCACCAGGGATCCTTCTTAAAAATGTATACTTCTATTATTTTTATTATTAAAACCACAAAATTTCATCTAGCATCCCAGCATTTACCACAGTGACACCGGGGCTACGATTAATATTTCAAGTTATTATCTCTCCATTATCTACCTTTGGGATACAATTCAAATCTTTCTTACTACAAAGAGTTAATCAATCATTTATTAATCTGCTGCCTCACAGCATTTGGTTTAGTCCTGTGGTAGGATAATCATTTGTAAGTGGTCAGTCATTTATTTATATGTCTTCTCCTTTAATTTCTCCACTAACATATGTGCTATTATATGGTTGTGTTTCAGGAATATTCAACTTCTATTTTTCTGAGTTACAATTTTAACAAGCAATAAATGTGGTTGATTATATTTTTCTTTAAAATATTCACTATTCCTTCCTGGGACAAAATTATACACCCTGTCAGAAGAAGCAATACATTTGAATGATGGTGCCATGGATACTGAGTATTGAAATACTGTGGACCGCCAGAAGAACAACCAAGTCTGTCTCGTATTTGCACCTGTGGTCCAGAGAGACGCCTTCCTCTAGATCGAAGAACATCATACTTGGTAAAGGAGGACAGTGAAGACAAAGAAGACCCTCAGCAAGAGAGGCTTGAACTATGGGCTCCAGCACAACTGTGTCCATGACCCATTTCCTTGGCCCAAGAAAATCTGGACACCTGGCTAAAGCAGCATTAAAATTAATTATCTACATAATTAAATAAGAATAAAAGGCAGCAAATTAGATAATAATGGGTACATCGAAAAATGAACATCTGAGAAAAGAGAAAGACAGATGAATGGGTGGTATTTAGAAAAGTGTCTTTCTAGTGTGGTTGTTGGTTAGGAAATAGTTTATCTGCCTGTGTTCTTCTCTTCTTGGATGGCATGTGAGTCGCTTAGACATTAAATAGGGCTGGAATCTTAGAAGTGCACTCTGCCAACACCCGCCATGAGATGGATTGATGTAGTGACTGAAACACTGGGCTCAAACATAGCATTTATGAGGACTCTATTGGTCCAGGCAATGTCTTGTTGTGTTGTCCCAGGGGTTTCTATGAATTGCAGCTGACTGGCTAGCATCTAGCTACAACATGTCAATCAAACAAAAAAATATTTGTTAGTAGAAAAGTAAGTTGTGTTCTCTAGTCATTTTTCTTTTAGATTTATTACTCCATACTTAGACCATCTATCATCCTAACACAAATCTTAAAATCATATTTTTATGAAAATGGTAAAGCCTGACAGTATCATATAACATAGTCTTAAAGGAGTGGTTTTTCTTGAGATTTTTTGCAATTGGTTCTCTCCAAAAATTTTAAATAAAAGTATCATGTTTTGTGATATGAGATATTGTGGTTTTCTGTTCACACACAAGCTCCTTTATATATATATATTTACTGTGCTGTTGAATAGAAACATTTCGAGGGGCAGGGGGGAAGCCTTTAAACTCATTATCCTAACTTGTAAAGCTACTAATAAAACATCATATTTTTTAAATCCTAAAATGTAGGGAAGAGATCTATACATAGTAAGGGGGAAAAAATCAAAGAGAACAGGTTGGGAGGTGAACAAATTAACATTCCCTGGCCTTGGCATTTTTTTTATGGAAATATTACCTACAAGAGGAGTTGATCAAGACAAGTTTTTTACAATCTTCCTTAAATTCAATGAATGAATTGTGAAGGTAAATTGTCCCCATTATAACCTTAAATTTCTTATGTAATATTCATAATCATAGTGTTCCATAAAAGCTAGCATGAACAAAAGGGGAAATTTAAGTTCCACTTCCTTAGAGAATGAGGTTCTGCTTGAAAAACATAACTCCCTGTCCCATTTTCAGTGCACCCAGGGTTCGCCTTGAGCACCAATGAGACCTACCCTCGCATCTCAGAGACAAAACAAACCCTCCGAAAGAGAGAAAATGAGGCAAACAAGCCCACTTCATGTCAATTTGTCAGCTTCGAATAAAATCTTCTGGAGCCGAAAGTGAGAAACTTGAGTGAAGACAATGTGTGAGATGTCTTTATTCAACATTGGGAAAAAATCACAGTCTTGCATTTTTTTCCCCTGATATGCCATAAAGTTTTCAAATTCTACCAAAGATAATTTTTAATAAAATGTATTCTTGCTAAGAAGAGTTATATGAAATAAGGCTTATTTTGTTTATATCTTGTAACTCTTCTACCCACTGTTGCCGGAGGAATTATCTCAAATCATCATAAGTAATTAACAAGTCATCTAGGAACTTCGGAACAATTCCGCATCCTCAATTTATAACCAAACATAGCATTGTTTTATGCAAAATAGGCACACCTGCTCTTTACCAACATAAAATGCTAAGGACAAAAATGCATTTGAATTGTGGTAAATTAGTATTCTTACAAAGGACCTCTCGGGGAGTTCACTGCTAGGCTGCTGGCTCAAATGCTGCTGGACCAAACCCAGACCCACCCATAAGCTTCAGGTAAGACAGACCGAGTCGTCTGTTCCCTAAAGAGGACCAGCTCGGAAATCTTATGGAGCAGTTCGACTCTCGAAGTTACAGCGAATTGAAATTGACCCAAGGGCACCACACATCACATTCTTATAAAAAGACAATTAATAACATAAATACCTGTCCTGGCCCCTATTCCCAGTGCTCACTTCTTCAACTGGCTTCCAAACACTCACCTGTCCTCCATGTTGGGCTGTCCCTACAGCCCCTACCATGTCCTTCTCTCCCTGTCTTGTGTGAAGTTTAATGGGCAGATTTTCCCTGGACTTTCTTTAGAGAGCATTGGCATTGTTTCAAAGGCAACAACAATTAAGAGCAACCACTGTTGATACTCCAATGGGAGAGAGAAAGATGCCAATCGTTTTTATACCTGATTGCCCCAGAGTGTGCCCAAATGTGATAGAAATATCTTTCGTCTCTTTCATTCCCAATTTTGTGCCTCTACATCCTTCTGAATATGTTTCAAATATGTTGTCTGATTCAATGATACATTTAATGCTGTCATTACATGAATGCTCTGATTTCAAACTTTGTTTTACTTTACAATCACTTCGGATCACCAGTTTGGGCTAGAAAAATGTTGCGAATGGACTCTGTGAACAAGTTCTTACACTCTCATGTAAAACATGATTTCACATCTCAGAGTTTACATTTGTTTTAGAAGTATCATAGCATACTAACTGTAGACTACAGAGAGAGTGGTCTGAGCATTGAAATCTATCATTTAGTAGGACGGCAATCTTCTGAGGGTCATGTTGGTTTTCTTTCAGCCTTTCTATAATTCACTTTCAAATTTATGTGTGGGGACTTCAAGGAGTTCATGGAAAAATTGAATTAAAAGATAATGGAATTTGTCCTCACGAAGTCTTGTCCCTTTGCAACCAGTAAAATTATGAAATGATGACCCCCAAACCTCGAGTTTATTCCTTGGAATTCCAATAAATGTGGATAGTACATTGAAGCCCTAACCATGTTTGTGTTATCGTACTTTTTATTATAACAAGCCACTATCCCAATAATTAGCTAGGTAGATTGTCAAAACTAAGTGTGGCCTGAAGTAACTATTTAATCTGTGATCTCAGACAGAAAGCAAATGGCCTCATTGGCTTAGACGATATCAGTTGTGAGCTGAGAAATGTCGTGTTTCTCCTACAGTGATGGCTGGGCTGACAGGTATGACGTGACAGACGGGTATCAGCGAGAAGCTGTGGGTGGAATCACAATCAAGCTCCAATCACCCGATGTCAAGTGGTTCGATGATTATTATCTGAAGCTCCGGCCAGAAACAAACCTCCGAAATCCTTGGTTTCAAGAATTTTGGCAGCATCGTTTTCAGTGCCGGCTGGAAGGGTTTCCACAGGAGAACACCAAATTCAACAAGACTTGCACCAGTAAGTACATTTCTTGTTTGCATTTCACGTGGTTAAGGCTACCGCTTCCAACTTAAGTGGGCTGTAATATAATGGGGATAGTGGCTACGATCTGCCACATAAATAGAGTGGGTATTGCTGCTTAAGGTGATTAACCAGGTCATACGCTCACTAAGGCGAACATATAGCAAGTGTTTACTTTGTTGAAATTTAAAGTAATTCGATTAGTTATATCTATATCAGCCTACCAACTAATATGCTTCTGTAAAGTACTGTAATAGAAGGATTAGGTAGGCTCTAGAATAAAACCCTTCTTGACATCGCCAAGGGCAGACACTACCTCCTAAACATTTCTGTTATCCTTAATAGTTAGCATAGCACCCCAGAGAATGTCACAGAGGTCTGAGAAATTGATAAATTTCTATCAATAAACCACACAATAGTAGCAGGGGCTATATAGGTATAGAAATAGAGATAGAGATAGAAAGTTATATATTAAATAGATATATATTTAGGATACTTTAGCAGATATAGTGTGAGGGCTCATAGTTGCATCCAGTCATCAAGAACTAACATCTATCTGTATTGTTGTAAGGGAAACCAAAGTAATCCCTGGTGGTGCTTTACGTTAGGTATTGGGTCAATAACTGCAAGGTTGGTTAATGGTTCAAACCTACCAGCTACTCCTTAGAAGAAAGATGAGGCTGTGTGCTCTTATAAAGATTTATAGTCTCAAAAACACTAGAAATATTTTAAGTTGGGATCACCTTGGCGGCAGCAGGGCATGGGTTCCTTCAAGGGATTTGGTGTCTAGATAGGGAAATAATCATGTTAACAAATAATCATTGTTATATGTTATATAAAAGAGATAGAGTAAAGGTTTCATTTACATTACTGCAGCCGCTCCAAAGCTTCAAATCTTGACTTTAACAGCAGGTAAGGTCCATGTTGACAAATATGTGTTAAATATATACATGTCTGAAAATTTCCAGATTTGTTAAAATTGACAGGGGATGTAGTGAGACCACCTTGGCTGATAAGAACTTCATGTACATTTTCATAAAAATAGAATAATTAAAATGTTTCAGTTATTGGTGTAGGTCTCTTTGTCCAAGAACCTGGACCAGCAGAGTGCGTCCCAAGCAGTGGGCCATTCAGTCTGGTTCATGAACCAATTCCATTCCATGAAGAGTTTTTCATATTAGTGTGGTTCTCAGATGCTTTTGAGTTGGTTCGAACTCATAGCAACCCTTAGAACAAAAGAACAAACTGTCACCCAGGCCTGAGCCATCCTCACAATTGTACTTATGTCCAAGTTCATTGTTGCAGCCACTGTGTCAGTCTATGTAATGAAGGGTCTTCTTTTTCATTGGCCCTCCACTTTATCAAGCATGATGTCTTTTGCCAGGGGCAGGTTGCTCTGACAGCGTGTACAAAGTACATGAGATAAAGTTTTAGCACCCTTTGTTGTAAGGAGCATTCTGGTTGTACCTTTCTAAGACAGATGTTTGTTCTATTGGCATTCCATGATACTTTCCATCTTTTTCAACAGCACCATAATCCAAATGCATCAATTCTTATTTAATCTTCCTTATTCATTGTCCAACATTCACATGTGAGGTGATTAGAAATACCATGGCTTGGGTCAGGCACACTGTAGTCCTCAAAGTACTATCCTTTCTTTCCAATATTTTAAAGAGGTCTCGTGCAGCAGATTAACCCAAGGCAGTGTGTTCTTTGAGCTCTTGATTGCTGCTTCCATAAGCATTGAATGTTGGATCCAAGTAAGTTGAAATCCTTGACAACTTCCATCTTTTCCCCGTTTATCATATTGCCTATTGGTCCAGTTGTGAATATTTTGTTTTATTTTTTATGATTGATTTTGATTAATACATACATTATATCATTCCATAGTTCAGTCACATCCGGCAGAATTATACATTTGCTAGAGCAGTTTCCAAACATTCTTTTTCTGTACGGACCTGTGGATGTCATCACCCCTTCATCCCAGTGCGCTCTTCCCTTATTCCGCTTTCTGACTCCATAGGTCCACCGGTCCTGGTTTTCGTACCGCAAAACAAACATGTACCATAACTTCATGGTGACCTCCATGATTTTACATTGAGTTGTTATCCATCTGAATGGCTGAAATCTTGATCTTTATCAGCAAGTCCTTTCAATTTCAGCAAGAGAGGTTTTGGCACCTGCATATCACAGGTTGTTAATGAGCCTTCCTGCCATCCTCCTGTCACAGTCTTCTTTATATAACCCAGCCTCCTGTATTCTTGGCTCAGCATGCAGGTTGGATAAGTCTGTGGAGAGCATACAACCGTGACTCACAACTCTCCTGGTTTTAAACCACGCACTCCTCCCTTGTTCGGTTCTACAACTGCATCTTGATCCATGTACACGTTCTGGATTAGTACAATGAAATATTCTGGAATTCTCATTTTTCTTAAGGCTTTACATAATTTGCTGTGGTCCACACAGTCTAATACTTTCTCACAGTCAACAAAGTGCAAGTAAACCTCTTGCTGGCATTCTCTGCTTTCAGTCAAGATCCGTCTAACTTCAGTTATGATATCCTTTGTTCCATGTCCTCTCTGAACCTCTGGCCTGAATTTGTGGCAGCCTCCTGTCAATATACTGCTGCAAGCAGTACTGAGTGGACTTCAGTAAAATTTTACTCATTGGTGGTAAAAATTACATTATTCTGTTAAAGATTTGCCCATTCTATTGGGTCACCTTTCTTTGAAATGGTTAAAAATAAGGATCTCTTCCAGTCAGTTGGCCAAGCAACTGTCTTCTAAATTTCTTGAAATGACAAGTGAGTGTTTCCAAGGCCTCATTGACTTGGTGGGTTTCTCATCTATCAGTGAAAAATAAGGGAAATGGGAGCAACGCAGTGAGCTCTTCTGAAAGCATGTTGTTCCCGAGGTCAGATGCATCCTGTGCTTTCGGTGTCAGTTTATTCTTTCATGAAATGACAAAATAGTAAATGATGTTTTGTGATTTTTTTTTAAAACTCCATTACCTGGTAAAATAAGAACCTAACAGTCTTCTATCACTTTCTCTTGAAGAAAATAGAGGGAGAGTTTGCTGGCTTATGGATTTTCTAACAGCCAAGAAGTGAAATATCAAAATCAGAGAATACTTATATGAGAATATGGTTGCTTCCCACACATTTCAGACTTAGCATGTTTGATCTAACATCTAATACATATTTTTTCTTTTGTATTTATTTTTTATTTTCATGGGGAAAAAGAAGTGGGAATAAATAGCATCATGACTTACACATCATGGAAATCGCCTTTTCTGATAACTAATTTCATATTTTTCACAGTTTCCTCAGGCTTCTTAAGAACACAGACTTATTACCTCCTGTGAGATTTGGGAAGCATATGTCTCTGTGTGTTCTAATTCTGTTTGTGCATGCCTTACTTCATATGCAGATATATTGGAAGAGTTAAAAAAAAAAGGCATGTGCTGTCTCTGATATCATCTACAATTTCTCTTTTCTAAGAATTTGCTGACCATCCCTCAACAGCCTCATTAAGGGATTTTTTTGGTTGTTTTTCCAGTTGGTCTGTAATTTTTTCTGTAACTAATAGTCTTTAATCACTCCCTTTGGTCTGAAGCGTCTGTGCTTACATCAAATTTTCTGTTTATCTAACTCTTTGCGTAAGGTCTTGCTTAAGTAGAATCTTGAAAAATTCCTTCACTGATTTCCATGGAAACATTATTTCTATGGAAACGATTCAGTACAATGTTCCCTGTGGGTTTGTCGCGGCCGCTCTGTGTCTTTAGCGCACTCAGACATGAGCTTTATGCTTAGAACCAGTTTTTAACTCCAGTAAGGGAACAAGTTCTTTAGTCCCTCCTCGTAATCTTTTCTAATAACAGTTGTGGTTTTGTATATATACATAGACACTTTAAAGTAGCTCCTCGGTTATTGTTTCCAAGGAGGGAAGTACTTCATTTTGCAGATAACAAAATCCAGATTTAGATAAATGCAATAACTTGCTCTCCGTCATATAAATATTAAGCACTGGGCCTTAAAATTAAACTCAGATTTGTTGAGAATTTAATCAACACATATATGAAGAATATTATAAGGCAAAAAATTGAACATCAAATTTGCATCATATAATAATCAATATATATAAGTCAAGACTACAAAAAAGAAACATAGATCTTCAAATCAGGTAGGTCTTAGCTGGTGCAAGCAAAAGATTTGTGCTGAACTACAGGCAGTAGCTGGATTATGAACATCCAGTTTATGGTTAAAAAAAAGCTTTTGCTTTTTAATGTTATATAAATTAACCCTCTATTTACAGTTGAAACAACCCCTACTCAGAGCAAATTCTTCATCACATTACCTTCATTTGCTACCCTTGCAACTTTTAACTCATTGTCAAGGTTTTGAGTCTTTTCTTGCATTTAACTCCCAAATCATTTCAACCCAATGCCATCAAGTCAAATGTAACTCACAGCCAACCCATAGGGCAGAGTAAAACTACACATATGGTTTCCAAAACCAGGAATGTTGATGGAAGCATGCTCTTTGTCTGGTAGATCGGCTGTTGGGCTTGGATTTCCAAGCTTTAGGTGAGCAGCCAAGAGTTCCATACCATAAAGAAAATTCTATGCAGCTCCATTCCATTCTATAGCACATGGTATCACCAAGAATTGGAATCAATCCATAGGCAATACATATCAGGTATGGCTTGTAGAAGTAGATATCCAAATGCTTGCCCCTATTTGCTTACGTAGTTTTCCACCCCCCTTCTTAAAAAGTTCTAGGTAGTTCATATCTGCAACAGTTCCCAATATGACTACTTGCTCAATAACAGTCTGCTGGTGGCCCAGCGGGTTAACCATTGAACTACTAACTGAAAGGTGGTCAGTTAGAATTCACCAGCTGCTCCCTAGGAGCAAGGCGAGTTAGCTGGCTCTTTACAGATATACCATCTCAAAAACCCTGTGAAGCATATGGACTCGGTCCTTTGGGGCCACCATGA